GACTCCAGCTAAATTTTCTACTTTCGCGTATCACTAGACATGCTTTATATAAAGAGAAATGCTATAGGTACATAATATTGAACATAGTCATATACTGGTGTACATAACACTTATATTGAGTGGGACCGACCAAAAATAAAAACAGCAATGTTATAGGTACATAATATTGTACATAAGGGTGTATATAACACTCACATTGAGTAGGACCTATCAAAAATAAAAAAATTAAGTGGACCCCACTCCATGTGAGTGTTATGTACACTTCTATGTACATTTATTATGTACTCGTAGCATTTTCTAAATAAAAAATCAAGTTGACCCCACTCCATATGAGTATTATGTACACCTCTATGTACATTTATTATGTACTTGTAGCATTTTTCTTATATAAATTATATAACCTAAGGTATAAACGAGTTGGACAGAGCTTGAGTTTGGGCTCCAACGTCAATATATAGCAATAACTAATGAGCTCGACTCGCTAATGAAATGAGCTTTGATATTTGCTCATCTATTAATATTGACAAGCCGAGTTCGATCATGAACGAACCAAACTCAACAGAGCTACAGAAAATTATTATAAAATTCATAAAACATTAACGAGATCGGCTCAGCTCGTGAACTAATTACAATGAGCTCTCACTCTCAAATAGTTTATCCAACAATTTAATATAAGCTCACGAACAAGTTTCATTTAACAAGTATATATGCTAAAAAAAAAAAGTTTCATTTAACAAGTATATGTACTAAAAAAATAGTAGTTGAACTACAAAACTAAATTCCTTGAACAAGTATATGTACTTAAAAAATAGTAGTTGAACTACAAAACTAAATTCCTTGTTAATAAAATGATCCGATCCCATATATTACTAATTTGACATAATACAAGGAGACAAGGTCCATCAAAGTTGGCCTTTCTTTTACAACTTTTTGACCTGAAAAAAAGAGTTGAGATTACGCTACTTGGAGAAAAGCATGATAGGAAANATATAGGGCCATCAGCCATGCAACATCAAGCTATAAAGCCTGGATTTTGTACCTGAATATTTATGAATTTAGTAATTTACAGTCAAAACTTTTTTATTTTATTTTATTTTTATTTATCTCTCATTGCACATTTACAAAGCAACCAAATTTTAACTTGTTCTCTTGGTGAATTTGTAACAATATTATCTAAATAAATTAGCTTTTGATAAGTTGTTGTTTTAGTCATTGTTATAAAGTTGCTGTTTATAAAACAACAACTATAGGTTTGACATGTGTGTTTGCATATGAAAATATTTAATCCATACTTATTTTATACTCAAAATCTAACTCAATTTTTTTTTCGGTACAACAAAATATAACTCAACTTTAATCCAACTCCACTATTCTCAATATTATCAATATAACCCATTTCCACTATTATGCAACCAATCATTCTTATACATCACATCAACTTTAATTTATTATTAATCCACTTACATAATTTTAACTGACTATCACTTCACATCATATCTCTCCTACTTTTACATCAAATCAACTATAATTATTTTATTATAAATATTACTTTAGTATAAAATCAAAATCCCATTAACAACTAACCATACCACTTTTTTCAAAATTAACTCTGGTTAACCAAAAAAACTCAATTTAAACAGATATTTTTGTATACAAACACGCTCGTCATTTCATTTTTTTACTCTTGTGTAACCCTAAATATAAATAGGATCGAACACCACATATATTTCTCACTTTTCTATTTTCTTAATTTTAAATGCTAATTGTCCTTTTTCTCCGTTTCTCTCTCCCTGATTATTCTTCCTCAAAATCTCATTTCATCAGTTTGATTTTCATCTTAATATGGTATCAATCGCCATCGATCTTTTGATTTTTTGCTTCCGCAAACACTTCTAGTGATCGATGAGTCTCCATCTCTGAGATTTTGCTCGATTTTGTTCATGTTTTCTTACAATTTTCCTTCTTTTAAAATCGATCATTTTTTTATCTGATCTACATCTCCTATATCTACGTTTCTTGATTTTTATACCTCTGAAATATCTCTATTCTGATCAATCACTGCCATGGCTACTGTAGTAAACCCTACCAATGATCCAACCTCGCCATATTTTCTACACGCCAACGAAAATCTAGGTCGCTTGTCATTGCCAATCATTTCAATGGTGAAAACTACATTTCCTGGTCGCGTGCGGTCTTAATGGCACTAAGTATCAAGAATAATGGTGGTTTCATTGACGAGACTCTACTATCCCCTTCCTCTACTCCTATGGTAACCCTACTTTGTATGCATCTTGGATTAGATCAAACAAATTGGTTATGTCTTGGCCTTTTAACTCCATCTCTAAAGAAATAAGACAGTTCTTGTTGTTTTTCACTTTCGCAAAAGATGTTTGGGATGGAGTTGAAAATCACTATGCAGTTAGTATAGTGGTCCGAGAGTCTTTCAATCGGAAAAATCACTTAGTACAATGGATCAGGGTTCAATGTCTGTTACTCGCTACTATAATACTTTTAAGGGTTTATGGGATGAGTATATTACCTATAGACCTATTTTTTGATGTCATTAAGGGGCTTTTACTTCTTGTACTTGTAATGTATTTGAGTCCATGGCTAAATCCCAACAACAAGACTATGTCATGAAATTTTTAATTGGGCTCAATGAATCATATGCATCACTCGGAAGCCATTTCTTATTATCTTTACCCCTACTCAATCTCACAAAGATATATTCTCTATTACTCCAAGAAGAATCTCAAAGGTCCTTATACACCAACACTGACCATATGGCTATGTTAGCCAAAACCGTTCCCACACACAAGATCCCAAAAACAAACCTACTGTTGACATCCGAGCTGAGTTGGGTGGATCCAGAATTAAATATTGTCGTTAAATGAAGAAATAGCCAATTCGAGCACTAGGGTCAGGGAATTGCATGTAAAGCAAACCCCGGAAGCACGAACACCTGGGTGCCGAGCAGACAACAGACAGGACACACATGTCAGATGACCATAAATGCAACCCCGACCTAGAAACTATCGATCAGCGAAATCGGGCCCAAGACTTAGATAAAATAAGCCAAGAGTTAACATCGAAGATCTGAGCTAAGCATACTAAGGCGGCCGGTAATACTAAAATAAAGGCAACTCGAACCACTAAAGATGGGACACGCCCACCAAAAGTCCGCCAGCCTACGTGCCATAATCTTATAGGGTCATGTGTCGCATTGAATGCGTGTCATTTCTATTTAATGCTCGATTGTACTTCCCGCGGAACAACAATCTGGTCACCCTTACTATAAATAGTTCTAAAAAGCTATTGTAAGGACTCTCCAAACAAAAGACATATATTCTCTCATTAATTACTGAATTTATTACGAGCACTCGAGCTCAATTGCGAATTATCCGACCTCGTTATCTCTTATTTTTTTGCATATTCAACACATTATATAGAATTTAACCTGATTAAACACTTTGTTATGAACTAGGGCCGCAAACGAGCCGAGCCGAGTCGAGCATTGGCCTTATCGAGCAGGATTGACTTTTTTTTTTTTGCTGCTCGAGCTCGACTCGAGAAAAAATTACAATAGCTCAAGCTCGGCTCGAGCTCGACTCGAAATCAAAATGCTCGAGTTCGGCTCGAAAACTTTTAAGTAGAAAGGTAAAATTACCATTAAGGACCTATGTTAATATATATAAGGGGGTATTTTAGTAATTTACATGTATCTCGAGCCGCTCGACGAGCCGCTCGACAAGGTAAAATATGGGCTCGAGCTCGACTCGAGTTCGTGCTCGAGCCGCTCGAGCTCGACTCGAGTTCGGTCAAACTCGAGCTCGAGTCGAGCTTTGACTCGAGCGCTCGCGAGCCGCTCGGTTCATTTGCAGCCCTAGTTATGAATACTAATTTGGTGTTAACGTGTTATTGGTTGATCCAATCTAGTGGTCAACAGTTAAGGGCTAGAGTAAGGGCGGCCTCATATTGTTTGAGGTTGCCGTTCAACTTGAAAAATCACCACAATCGCAATTAAGAAAGAAACATGCAAGAACGACAAAAGAAGATGTATTCCTCAAGCCAAGAAGCCAAATCCCAACCGCAAACACCGAGTAACCGCGTACGACGGATCTCACGGTGATGTTCCAAGACCCAAAATAGGGCATGACTAGCCTCATGACAAGCTTTATGCCATATGCATCACACGCGCCACTGTCACTGGCAATCTTGTGAATTTAATATATTCAGTTTATGTATTCGTTTATATTCCTCTAATACATTTTTGGGCGATAACACCGATTTGTTCCAATTTTAGCGAGGATGAGTTTCTAATCAGACAAGTACTCTGTACCATTTACATATCAAGGGAAAATAATATTAGGCTAGAATGCTTATCATGAGGAAAAATTTAAACGAGTCGAGCAGAATTCGAGTTTCCAATACTCGAGTTTGGATTTGAATTTTTATTATTGATTCGTTAACTAGTTGAGCGAGTTGTTCAGTGAGTTAAAGCCTCAATCATTTATCAATATTAACGAGCTGAATTTGAGTTTTAACAAACTGAATTAAGCTAAAAATTCAGAAAATTATATACAAACCCCAATTTTTGAGCGAGCTTAGCTCATTAAGTAGCGAGTTTTAAACAAGCTCTGATCAATTCATCTCGACTTGACTCATTTAGCTCAACCTTTAATAAGTTAACTTGAGTTGAGTTCACAAACGACTTGTTTCGTTTCACAGTTTGGAGAAAACGAGTCCTTTCACTACACTAGCTATTGCATTGGGGCCTAGTTTATTAAATAAATGGGCTTAGTGTGATCTCAATCAAAGGCCCAAACAGTCAAAGGTTTCAAATCAGCAATCAGTAGAGGGCCGAGAGAGAGGATCTCAAATTTGTCACTTGAAATTAGACATATCCTTTGTCTTCTTGGCATCAAAATATTTGGCTACAGAACAATGAATTTCGCAATTTTATTTTAATTCGTAATAATCTTAAAATCTTTCTGAATCCACGTTCGAGCAGCTTAAGAAATCTGCAGCATCGCCATGGCTACTGACGTGGGTACTTTGTTGAAAAGGTGATTCTTTTTAGCCTTAAATTTGATTTTGAAAAGGTTTTAGTTTCAGTTTATTGAATTCGGTGTTGGATGCTGCTGCTATTACATTGATAAGTTATGGATCCCTCAACTTTTCTCTATTCAGTTTTGCGCANTGATTTGATCATTATAAACTATTTAAATTCATTTTTTGAACCACACGAGATGATTTTATCATGATCGATTACACAGGTTGTGACTAAATTGCATCTTAATTTAAGGTAGTTGTAATGTTATTAAAGCCTTTAATTCAGAAGTTTTATATCTATAGGCTGAATGTAATCAATTGTCTGGATTTTACCAAAAAGATATACAGACTTGAGCCTGGAGGTGCTAGATTATTATTATTACTATTTTTTTTTTATTTATCTTTTGGTTTAGACAATTTCTTCTGATTGTCAACTTCTGATTGCAAAGAGGCCATTTCCCTTTCACGCAGATCTTTGTGGTCGAAAGTAGGAAACTTTAGCATGCTTGACTGTAAATTGTCATCTTGATAACTTGTTCCATAGTTTGATATTTGATTGATATGGAAAGTTCGGTGTGCTGCATGATGGAGATCAATCAGTTTATACGTGTTCTGCAAGATGGGACCTGTCTCATTCGAATTGATTTTAATTTTATAGGCAGCCATGAATCACCTCAAATAGATTTATTTACTTGGACTGATTATAGTATTTTTCCATTTTTAGGTACTTTGGTGCTTGCGAGAGACATGGAATTGCACCGAATAAATCAATTATGACATCGTTATTCAAGGTTTCACATTATTGTTAACCGTGTCTTTTCCCCCTGGAGTGTTTTGTTTAACCTTGCATCGTCACAATATCTTTTCCTGTACAGGCTAAGATCAAGAAAGCCCACCATGAGACAGCTACACTTTCTGTCTCTATTGATGACCTGAAAGATGTTGATTTCTATCCACTTCGCGACCTCTTAACTGAAATTGATGGTTCTGAGATTGATGTGGTTGACATGGTAAATAGATTTTCTTGTGCACTGAGCGGGGAATATGTTACGCAATTGCTACATGCTGTCGACAAAAAGCTTGGACACGTTGATATCTGTGACATCTCATTTGGAAAGGATTTCTTGCTGTATGTGTTTTTGCCTTTTTATTTCCATTCTCATCCATTTAGTTTAAAATTCTTACTTTTGGTATTGGATTGTCTTCCTAGCAATTTAATTTCTTGTGCTAGCCTAAATTTTAGACTTTTCAAAAGGTTCTAGCTGTTAATGTTCTACGGTGACTGACTCCAGAGGTCAGGCTTGTGGTATTTTGTTTTATTTTTTGTCAAGTGTGATGCTGAGAGCAGGTATACATATAATTCACTGTTTTTTTTTTATTTTTTTATTTTTTTTTNAATAAAAAAAAAAAAGACACTATATTCGTTAATAAGTTTCCCAAACAATATAGAGCAACCATGGTGTGCTGTATATTCATTTTCCCTAACATAATTGTTCTCAATATATTTCCACAATAAAATCAAACATGTACATACCTTATCCAGTATATTCATGGATTTTCCTCCTAATATGTATGAATACCAGTATATCCTCTCCCAATACATATACAATAGAAACTATAAACAAAATGAGTATCACCTTTAATTCTGTGCTCCTTTCTTTCCTTTCAACAATGTTCTTTCTGGAAATTGTAGAGACCGTGCCTCTCATTGTTTGTACCATGAATTTATTCAAGCAGGGAACTCTTTTCTGGAGCTTTTTTGTTCCTCTTTAGCGATCTTTTCTCTTGAATTTTCAAAATTTTTGCAAACTTAGCAAGACGCATTTCCTTCAGGGATATTGCTCAACAAGGCTTAACATGCCAAGTTCTCAATCTAAGATCTTCTCATTTTCGGAAGCTCAATATGGTCGGGAAATTTGTGCACATGCACACTCTCAACTTGGATTTCAGCGCTTCACTTACTAGCTTTCGGGAGGATTGTTTTACGTGTATGCCAAATTTAAATTTCCTTTCGCTGTGCGCGACTAGGATCACAAACCTGTGGACAACTAGTGCTGCACTAGCCAAGCTTCCCTCGTTAGTTGATCTTCGATTTCAGAGTTGTTTCTTTACTCATGATATGGAGTATTCTTCTGCGTCATTTGGAGATGAGGGCCTTGGTTCAGGTCATACTGGCATGGGCCCTCACGGGGAATTACCTTACCCAAGTGATGAAGTTTTTCCTCATTTGCAATTAATTCTGGATGATGAAGAAACAAATGATTATGATGTAGTTCAGGATGTCGGTAGCCGAAATGAAGGTTCTTCAGATGAAAGTGAAGTCGATTTTTCAGGACATCAACATGACTTTCGTTCAGCGGAACTCTTACCTAACATGCCCTTTGCTTCGAATGAGCTGGATGATCTGCAGAATGAGGTAGTTAACTTTTTCATGCATAATCAGTGTGGGGTTTTTTGTTTTTCTCGTCTTGGTTGTCATTTTCCCATCTTTCTCTATTTATTTCTTGCTTTAGGAGGGTGGTAACAAAGTCAAACATGATGGCTAATTTGTTTAAGAATACTTGTATAATCTCTCTTCCTCTCTCTCTGATTTGGTGTCATATATTCCTGCTTTCTGTTTAATGCACTTCTGTAATTGGCCAGTTGAGAAAGTTTACTTCTGCATAACATAACATTGTGATATAGAATGGGGTATATATCAACTTTAGCCATTGCGAGTCCTGTAAAAAAGTTCGTTGTGTTTGATACTTAAATGAGGGAATGGCTATTTGTAAAACACAGTAATGAATATTAATTGTGTCACATCAGATATCTTTTGGCACACTGGACATGCATGGCGACGATTATTTTTCTGCTGGATCGGTCAAGTCGAGTGGCGTCAAGAAGTGCATTTCTCGTCATCCTTCTCCAATATGCTTTGAGAAACATTACAGAGAATACATGATAGCTTCATTGCCAAAACTCAGAGTTCTTGACAATTTGCGGATTTCGGAAACTGAAAAAGAAAAAGCCAAAGATATCTTCACAAGTCATTTTGAATACCTTCCGTACAACAGGCATAATAAGGAGAGCTTGGTTAGTTTATTGCAGCAACGTGAGACCACAGCAAACCTCTCTGCAACTCACGCCTCGAGAAATTTTTTTCCTTCTTCATCAAGAAAAACGAAGCACTTCTATTTCAGGTCATTATCGGCTGCCAAAATGGGATCTTCTGCATGGCCCACCTTACGGTCTCTTTCTATTAGTGGCAGTTCATTAAGAGAAGAAAGAAGAAACTTTCGTCCACGACAGTTTGAGTACAGTCCAACAGACTCAAGCCTTATGGTCATTGGGACTTTGGATGGTGAAGTTGTTATTGTAAACCACGAGAACGGGAAACTTGTCAGTTACATTCCATCACTTGGGGCTGTGAATAGTGTCCTAGGGTTATGCTGGCTTAAAAAGTATCCTTCTAAGGTATCTTGTTACTTATATTCGTTGAACATGGTTCTAATTTGTTGTGGAAGTGGATATTTCAATTTCCAAAACAGTCTTGCCCATCGTCACCCTTTTGCATGTCACTAACCTTGTTGCAGCAGGTTTTAATTTGAATATTTTTGTGTTTTTCCCTTTCTGACCTTAAATAAGTTGTTGCATTTCAGCTCATTGCTGGTTCTGACAATGGCTCCCTTAGATTGTACGACATACAACATTATACAAGTAGACAAATGCATCACAATCGTGGTTCAGTCTTCTTTGACGATTTTGACCAGTTAACATCTGTGCACGTTAACTCCACAGATGAACTGTTTGTTGTCAGTGGATACTCGAAAGATGTTGCTCTTTACGATATCGGCAGTGGGAAACGTTTGCAAGTCTTTGCCAATATGCATCGGGAACATATAAACGTGGTCAAGTTTTCCAACCACAACCCGTCCCTTTTCGCCACATCATCCTTTGATCAGGATGTGAAGATGTGGGATGTAAGGCAAAAACCAAACCAGCCTTGTTATACTGCTTCAAGCTCCCGAGGAAATGTAATGGTCTGCTTTTCACCTGATGATCACTATCTTCTTGTCTCAGCTGTTGACAATGAGGTAACTTTCAATTAATTTCTGAGTTAGAACTAGTAGTCTTGTTACCTAATCTAGTAAAAGAAAGTGTGTATTTCAGTTTTTTTTTTCTTTCTGTTGTGATGTGACCTCTCATACAGTAATGAGACGAGTTTGGCTATGATCGTCTCGATGACAACTGGATTTAAATGGATTCACAGTGATGCTCTCTGGTGAAACGGTTGGGTAAATAGTTAAAGAATCTGATCATGTTTGTATGACAAGTAAATTATATGCTTTGGATAAACTCTTCAATTTTTGAACTTTTGTAAGTTGATTAATTTATATGCTTTCATAATTGCATGGAAAATAAGGAAAAGAAAAAAAAAAGGATACTAATTTGAAGTGGTGCAAGTAGGTATGTATTTACCACCTTTCATGCGGAGGTTATCATGTCTGTGTGCCGATGTTTTCTCCAAATGTGCAACTTCTAGGTCAATGAATTGTGAAATATATGTTTGCCAGGTAAAACAGCTATTGGCTGTTGATGGAAGACTTCATATGGATTTCGGTATAGCTTCCACTGGAAGTTCACAGAATTATACTCGTTCTTATTACATGAATGGAAGAGATTATGTGATAAGTGGGAGTTGTGATGAACACGTGGTTCGCATTTGCTGTGCTAATACTGGAAGACGACTCAGGGATGTATCATTGGAGGTTTGTAGTTTTTATTCTTCTTTCTCGTATATCTTTCTCCCAAGCAGTTCATATGGTTGTGCAAAATATGAGGTGGCATACTTTTTTTTTTTTTTCCCCTATCATTTTAACTATCATATGGTTGTTGCCACCACGGTTAATGTAATATCCTGAAATGAGTTGGTTTTGTTCTTCAGGGTAGAGGCGCAGGAGCATCAATGTTTGTTCAGTCTTTGAGGGGTGATCCTTTCAGGGTAATTTCCTTTGTTGTCCGTTGTTCTACCTATATGATACAGATTTAATCTTCTAAATCTTGGTTGAGTTATATGGATTATACAACTTTGTAGTCTTTAGGAGATGACGCATGTTCGAAATCGAATCATAACATTTTTGGCCCTTGATGGTTTCGACTGGTTACTAACATAAATTGTGTCTTTGATGAATATGCCTTGGGTTGTTGTAAAGGTTTCAAACATGAATTTTATATCCAAGGGAGTCATGACATTACCCAAGTTAATTTTCTGAGTTATCTTTTGTTAAGGTTAATAATTTTGCAGGTTTGCATTTTTTAACGATAAATGTATCTTCACTTTAATCACAATTTACCGAAAATGAGATGACTGTGTCCTTTAAGCTGATTACAAAATCTCTTCTATCAAAACTGCTCATTTTTTTTTTTTTTTATTATTATTGGTGACAGGATTTTAACATGAGTATTTTGGCCGCTTATGTACGTCCAAACTCGGATTCTGAAATCGTTAAGGTTTAGTTGGTTCCTTTGATCTTCCTCAGTTTTATTTTCTTCTCAAAATTTTAGGTTAATTACCGACAACTACCCATGAGGTTTAGCCTAACTGTGCAAAACCCCGTTTTATCTTTTTTTTTTACAAATTTTGCAACCAGAAAAAATTCGTATCTGTCAGGTAAATAAATACCATATATTATATACAAAACTGCAAGGAGCCGACGGTGATAGGTCTGAACCTCAGGGGTGTTTTTGTAATTTCTTTCTATATATTACATTTTTCCAAGGTATGCTGATGATAATATACAACATGCACGTAAATATAGGTTAATCTTCTGGCATGCGTTGACCGTGATGGATCGTATTCTTACAAACAACCACCTCAATCTGATACTGGAATGGGAGGTTAGGAATGCGTAATTTTCATTGTAATGTAATGCATGAATTTGTACATTTTCTGTACATTTCTTTTTTCCTTATCTTCTTCGGTAGAGTAAGGTATGTAAGTAAAATTCAATATCAGAGTTAAGCATGTGTTTTGATATTCACTCAGTCAGTGAGGCTGAGTGAGCAATTGGGCAAAAAATTAAATATTCACTCAGTGCAGTGTATTTAGTATATGTGGTTTATGTAAAAATCTCTGCACAAACTTCACACAGCAGGATGGCAAGCAAGTTCCTATTTGGTTATTACTTGGATTTTTTCGACTTGCACACGAAATGTCAGATAATTTTTTATGCATCTCATGTGACACAGAAGTATCTAGTAGCTTTCAGGAAGGCACAGTGAGTACTTTTTCATTCATATTCCTACCCTTGCTGTCATGAAATAATATGTGAATGATGTTTCGACTTAGTAAGGATTACATTGAGGATAAGTATTTCGTATCTAGAGTTGCAAACGAGTCGAGTCAAGTCGAACATGGACTTTGTCAAGCGCAGGTCGAACTTTTTTCTTCACTGCTCGTGAGCTCGACGAGTCATGTAAAATGATACTCGACTGAACGTGAAAAAAATTAGAATGAGCTCGACTCGACGCTCGACATGGCTCGAGTTCGACTGAGAATTTTCACAACTAAATTTTAAATATAAATGTACTATTTTTAATCTAAATTGACAATTTTGACAGTGGTTCTATTATTGATACTAAACTATATAGGGTATTTTTGTAAACAAAAAATCGAGTGGCTCGTCGAGCTTACGAGTTCTTGAAATGTTTCTCGAGACTCGACTTGTTTGCTTGATTGAACTATTCGAACTCAAGACTTGAGCACTCGCGAGCTACTCATGCACCGCTCGACTCGTTTGTAGCCATATTCATATCATTATATGAGAATGCATAAATGTTGTGGTTAAGAGGCTAGTGCTTGTTTGGGAGCATTTCTTTAAAAGTCCATATATTAAATGGACTTTTGTCGAATGGACTTTCTCCAAAAGTCTCCATCATTTATTTCTATGGAATGGACTATTTGGAGAAACAACTTATCTATAAGTCTTCATTCTTCACTTGTGGGAGTAATATTATTACCGAGAGTGTGTTGTGTTGCCTAGATAGCCCTATGGGTTGTCTCCGAGAGTCCCACTATACTCAGCTAGGTGGCTACATGACTAACTTTGACTGTTATCTAGATGTAAATGTGTTTTTTATTTATATAATTCCTCTCGTTCTGCAAAAAAAAAAAAAAAATCTTATCCATAAGTCTATTTATATTTATCGCTAAACATAAATTATTTATCTTAATGAATTTTTGCATCCAAAAGTCCATTTGAAAAGTGTTTTCAAACGAGCTCTTAATCATTAGATCTTCATATTTCATAATAAAAATACATTTGTTTACAAGTGACTAGGCCGTGCTACATTTACACCGAGGATATGTTTTTGCGTGGACGCGGACTTTTTAAAGATGGATTTTTTTAAAGTGATTTCTCAAAAATGTCCAATATACACTTTTTTTAAAATGGATTTTTCATGTTGGAGATACATTTTTAAAAGTCCTTTTTTTTACACCAAATATCTTTTCATTTAGGAATTAGACTTTTATAATCAAAATTTCATTTCAAAATGCTTCCAAAACATACACTTGATATCTCAGCTCTTCATTTAATCATTTCCATGCACTTCATATTATGTATTGGCTTTGAGATTTATTTTTATTATCAACTTCATATTCTCATCGCAACTTTTACCATATGGAATAAGATGATAATACAGTGAGGAACAAATGTATAACTATAAATACTGCTCATTGATTAGAGATGTATTTTTGGTCAAATTTTTAATGTTCGGTCATCATATTTTAAGGTAGGTGCACGGTATTTGAGCCCACACCGTCTCACAGTTCAATTGGGACACCCTTTTTTCTCTCTTTCCTTCTCTTTTGGTCCGTTGTACTTGGACACTTCACGTGAATCCTTTTGGTACAAGAATAAATAATTAGGCCATATGGCTTTATGACTCCATTTGGAACTTTCTCGAATGGCCTAAATGCCTTCGTACATTAATCTTTCATCCTCGTTACTTTGTACCATCTTCAAACTAGCGGAGGATATGGTTTTCTTGTTGGAGAAAAGGGACATTGTTCAAATGAAAAATTTAAGATGTCCTAAGATATGAAGTAGTTTTTATAAGCGATAATAGTGTGTTACGAAATAAATGAGATACTCCTTAGTAGATATTGTTCAAGTTTGAGTTTTCGGTTTGCAGCTAGATTTTGTGCTTCAAATGCTTGTATATACATTAGAGCATTTAAACGAAATGAACCATTCATGAGCTGTAAGACTGGAGTTCAGCCCAACTCGTTTGATAACCGAGCCAAGTTCAAGCTTGTTGAAAGCTCGTTTAATTAAGGAATTGGGCTCCGCATGTTAAGGATCAATAAAGTTCGAAAATAAGAAATTTTTTATATGATTTTATATAGATTGACTTGTTAAGACTTGAGTTTGACTTGTTAAAAACTAAGCCCAACTCTTTAATATTGAGAAATGAGCCAAACTCAAGCTTAGTTACTGACTCGTTTAGTTATCGAGCCGAGTTCAGTTTGACTCGTTAAAGACTCGATATCGGCTTAGCTCAGCTCTTGTACACCCCTAATCCACATGCAAAACTGTTTTTCTTTTTTTTTGAAGGAAAGCTATCCACATGTATGTTATCATTTTGAATTTACTCTAAAACTCAACTCAATTGATACTTCAGTAATTCTCCAATCTCCACGGTATGTTAAATTTGAACTGTGAAAACAACAAAAGCTCACTAATCTATTAGGGAATGCTAATTTTGAGCCTAATAAATCTCTTTTACATGCGATGTTATTGTTAATTAAGCATCTGGAACCTTCCTTCGTGTGACAAGACAAAGAAAGCCTTCTTTAAAATTTGAAGTAGTTGAGACTTGAGTGTATACATTGATTATTCATGCATTTACTTCATATTTTTCCCCAGTTGGCACTTTCAGACAAAACGAACCCATAAAAAGTTCTACAGTAGTAAGCTGGCAGGATAAAATAAAAAGCACTCGCAATTTCTCGAGAAACCGCGTGTACGTGCGTACTAATTAACAACTATGCATGCCAGCTCTATTGTACTCCTTTCCCATAATTTGTTGTAAAATTAACAAAGTAGGCCAAGGCAGGTACATATAATGTGTTCTTGAAATGCAAAAAAATCTGATTTTTTTTTTTAATCTTCTTTATGTTTAAAAAAAAAAAAACATTTGCATACAACCTGTCCAGAATGAGCCCATGATTAACATTGGTCTTTCAAAATATGAGCTAAATATGGTATGAAACGCAAACCCTTATGCGATCGATGCAGCCTAACCTATGCACGTCTATTTGTCACATGTTATCTTGCTTTTTAATTATGGCATAGAGTTCTCTAACGTTAGACTTGTCTACCAGCATGTGTTAAAAGGTAAAAATCTTTTGACCCATAAACTACAACCAATAAATGAAATTTACAATATATTTGAGTGAGTTTGTTCTATTATACCCAAATCACCTATATTTCTAATATCAGTCTCACTCATAATTGAATTAAGGTAAAATCGTTTGACCCATAAACTACTACAACGCCAAATATAAATGCGACATGATATGATTAGAAAATATGATTATAGAAACAAATGGTACGACGATAAGGA